AAAGCTTTAGTAATACAATTCAGTGCCAAGTCTTCAAACTGTTTTATATATTGCACTACATCATCAGCTAGAGGACCAGAGTGTAGTACACAGGACCAAACTCGGCCTAAATAAGTCACAGGGTGTTATCCCAACTGCGCTCACACACACCAACACAAAAGCTTCAGAGCTGGAGTGTGTTTCTGCACACTGCAGGTGATCTGGAGCATGGGAAGTGAAATAAACAAGGCCTGTGAGGTCAGTTTTGTCTCCTGTCCACTAGGGAAACAGAGGAACCTCATAAAGCAATCTTCATATCGCAGAGTGGAAATGTTGTCCCATGTATTCACCAGGTGTGAAAACCCTGGGACAAGAGAGCAGGAGAGTATGAAAGGAGATGCTGAGTGGAAAAGCAGACTGGATTACTGAAACCTGGGCTCACTCAAATATTCCAGATGAGTCTGTTTCTTTAACCACCTGCTTCATGTCTGGATGGAAGTTTTTCAACATCTTAATTTGCTGATGTACCAGACACATTTGAGGGGAGATCAGTCTGATCATATCCAGGGTGTTGATGAGATAGTCCACTGTCAATCTGCTGCAGTGCTTTCTTTTTTTTAAAATTTTAAACCATACAAACAGCCCTAGATATATGTATGCCCTTAAAGATGAGTAAAACAAGTTCACTTGAGAAGCCATGACTCAAGGAACAAATGAAAGATGATCACTGCTGAAGGACCATGCTGAAGATCCGGCCCACATTGCATGGAGCAGTTCCAGCTACATGAAATACTTCAAATGTGTGCCCCATACCCACAACTCCAAACCTCAGTACTCCTAGTGCTGGAGGCCCATCTGATTAATGTCATGCTGGGAGAAAAATAGAGGAAAGATTCATCATGAATAAAGTGATGTCAGCAGTGATATCTGAATGTAAGAACCAGCATACCTACCTCCCTAGGTCTGGCACCATAACTGCTCCTGTAACAGCCACACAGGAGCAGTTAACGGCTGCAGACTTGAAACAGCAAACAATGGTAAGGTTGTCCAAGGTCTTTGATAGGGTGGACCATACCCAGCTCCTGCAACATCTGGCCGACATGGAGCTCGTCCTAGACTTTCCATGCATCTACCTCTCCTTTAACCAATGCATGCATCTACCTCTCCTTTAACCAACATTCATAGTGACACTGATGGAACTTCAATAGAAACCCAGGTGCTCTGTTTCTCAGGGGATAGGAAATCCTGATTGTGACTACCACTTAGTGCCTAGGCTTTCACCTGGACCCTGATCACAGCGGGGTCATATTGAACAGGGAGTGAGAAATTCTCAAAATTTCCACTTTCCACTAACTGACTGTTCTAGCAAGACACAGCCTACCTTACGAGGACCTTATCACCATCTATACTACAGCCATGTCTGGAGTACAGCATTGTTCATCTGGTGGTGTGTAATAAAAGCTAGAATGCACTGCTGGAGAGGGTGAAACCCCACCACCCAACTTCAGAACAAGAGGGAACATTCAGCTGGTCAGACAGATGATGGTTTATGGCATTTTAAAATGTATGCCTGGTTGTATGTAAGTATATGGATATATTTGTAAATATGTATGTATGAGTATTAATGGCGGTTTACATTTTTATGATGGACAGTTATGTAAAGATATATAAATGATGCATCTAATCAGATTTAGTGACATCTAGTGGTGTAGTTTCAGACTGCAATCACTTGCTTCACCCTCCCTTTCCAAGTGTGAAAGAGAAACTATGGTGGCCATGAAACCCACAAAAAAAAACCAACGACCTCCACACAAGGTGACCCGCAACCTTCATAGATAAAAACAGCTCATTCTAAGGCAACAAAAACACACCGATTCTAATCAGGTGATTATACACTAAAGAAAACATACCTATGAAACATGAATTCAGATAAACTCCAACACAATATCAGCAAATGTACATTCAGGGAAATTGAATTATTTATAAGTGTGCTGCATGTGTAAGTTACAATAATAAAGTAATCAAATACTAATTTTATCTGAAAAAGAACTGCTGGTATCTTTTACTTTTCAGTACAGTTTTCCATTGGTTCAAAGCACCACCAGCTAATCAGGAAAAAAGTGTGTAAAGGTTTCTCCCATTTTCACTTCAACACAGTAATAGACTGCTGAAGGACCTGTAACTAGTTCATTCTAAGACTGTTTTTCAGTTACCAGGGCTTCTTATGACTTTCCCCCATGGGCTTGCACTCCCATTCAATCTGAAGCCTTCGGTGAGACTAGCCAATTCCACAGGTCACTGCCCCGGTGGAAGTCTGGTAAACACGTAATAGAGGAGTGAGATGAGATAGGATTGTGTTGTCTGTCAACAGAACAAGGTTGAACACATCAGTACAGCAAAACCATATATGACACAGTAATATAATGTTGTAACCTATGGTGATAGGTAGATTCTTTAGTACTGCTAGCTTCAGATTTGTTTGGGGTTTGAATCATTGTCAAATGCACCATGTCAGCTTGTAGGTGTTCATGCACAACCAACCAACAAGTCAACGCTGCTGCAGAGTGAATGATGCCACGTTTAGAGAAAATCATGGAAAGTATTTTGGTAAAAATGTATGTTTGGACCGAAACTAATTGGATTTGCTCTTTTGACTCTTCTTGAGTAAAGAACAAGGTCGAACTTGGCAATGGCACTTCAAAACACCTGCCAAACAAAAAGCAGTCATACAGAGGGCTGGACAGACAGCGCAGGCAATAAATCCTCATTTACGTGATGGTCACTGAGGTGTGACAAGCTGGCTTCCACAAGAGGGAACTAGATCAAAGACTGGGCAGAGATGGAGACAGCGGGAAGGTGGTTAACCTCTGAGGAAAAAGTTCTGTGCAAACGTGAACCTGACCTTCAAGTTCTGGCTCTAAGTTAACATGAAAGTGGAAACTAAAATATAAATGACTAACATTTGGAATAAATTTGGAACAAATCCGTAATTCCTAATCCTTTTGAAACGGCTGATCCTTTTGAATCTTTGTGCTGTGCCTTAAAGTGCAAAGTGTGATTATTGAAATACATCTAGTCAAAACCAGCTTAATGTCAGCTCTTCAGTGCAAACGGACAATGCACCATTCCTGCGATATGATCACTACAACACTATTATGTTGTATGTAAGCTGTTTTCTCCAACATTTGAGCTACTAAATAATGTCCCATGGTCATAACCACAGGCCACTGGAGCTATTGACAGTGGTACACACTTTCCAGTAGCACTAGATATTCTCCTTTCTATCTTGAAAGAAGCAGTTTTGGACAGCAGTAGCTAAAAAATTAGGCAGGCTTGGGAAATGCTGGCAAGTGTCTAAATTAGAAATTCTCCCCATTCCCCTGAAAAATCAAAAAATACTGTAGATGCTCTTCAATGAGACAGTAGTGTGCTGTGGTGTCAGTCAGGGAAATCATGCCTTTAAATACAGATAATGCCCATACTTTGCAAACAAAAAGGGCGCAATTTGTTTCCCCTTCATAAAATGATGGATTAAGGACAAGAAACAGACAGCAGTCAGCCATTGAATTAGCATGGTGAAGTCAGTGAAACAGACAGGTGGATTGACAACTAACATTCAAAGTGTTTGCCATGACCTTTCCCTGACCAATTATAGCTGCCTAAACCTCAGAAAAC